TGGTTTCCCAAAAAAAAATAACCTGGAGAAGCAAAAATGACGTACGTTGAGTTTATACTCCGCTGCGGGCGCGAGAAAGACCGCTCTGCGTGGCCGCGGCGAGGTTGCGAAATATGGCTCGGCCACAGGCGCCCGTTTTCGCGAAAACGCCGCGGTACGCAATGGGTTAATGATATGGTGCAGCCTTCTCACCGTTGAAAGTCTGTAGTAAGCAAGGGGGACCAGATGTTGGTAGATAATGACTGATGTTGAGCTATTTTCAACTCATTTTCCTGCATTTCAATAAAAAAATTGCTGTCATCATTTTGCACATTTAGCGCATTCTACCTCGCCCAAGGGAAGAGTGCTGGGCTCTGAGACAGAAGGAGGAGCACCCGGCGGCAGCCGGGTGATCCGACTGGTTCTTTATAGCTGTGGAAAGTTTGACAGTCGAATAAGCATTGGTGTCAAAAATATCGCAATATAAATGTAATAAGCTCGTGTGCAAATCATCCAACGTTTCTTCAAGCCTGCAGCACTACACCTTTTTATCGGCTGTCTCCAAGTTCGGGGGAGCTCGAATGATACTTCCCATTACGCCAAGACTACAAGCAGTAGTTGATCACAATAAAGTGGTCTACTGTAAATGAACCCTTCTGAATTGTTACTGTTGTATGTGACATTGACATGAGCGCACAAGAACAATTATTTCATTCTCATGATTGCTGCTTGGGCCCTACAAAACACCAAAACTCTGATAACAAAGACAAGAGGAAGGAAGTTCATACTTCACTATGAGCGGGAGCAACTGAAGACTTTCACCTTTCTGCCAGCTGCGAATATACCAAAACACAGCTTACACTGGCGATGGTGTGAATTCTACCAACACTGACCAACTCACTAAGAAAACATTCATGGAAAACGCCGAGAGTTAGGGTCTCTCGTGTCCTGACATCGCCATGCCGAATTACGACATTGCGTACTGTACGCCTCACTTGTGGCAATTCAGGAGATGGCAGCAACCCTTCAGATATGAGTTCTACGGTATGGGCTATACGTGCAACCTTCTCGCTAATCTGTCATATCGCATCTTATTGCAATTGATATCTACCATGTACCATTTGACAACTTTCTCCCTCTACTTTAGTCTATAATCGTGCGAAGTCTACAACTTCGAACCTAAAATGAAGTACTTCATCATAGCATCCGGCAAACAATGTGTCGCGGTTCCTTGGTGTGGACACTAGAACCTGTTCTTTGGTCTATCGTACTGAATGTGACATAGTTTCAAGGGAACTGGTTGAAATCTGAACGGTCTTTGTAACACTTTTGTGTTGTCGGGTCACCTCCACAAGAATGAGTGTATTTACACATGCACACTCGCTGAAAAAAAAATTGAGGCCCCGTTCCCTTAGCCAGTTCCAGTAGCCTGACCGCTCCATTTTGAACAGTTGGAAGAAGATGAAAAGCTTGCAAGAAAGTGGACTGCATAAGTCATTGAATTTAACTGCTAGATTAGAACTTCTTGTGATGACATGTAGAAAATTTTTATTCGTTTGACCACTTGATAAATTAGGCCTTGATCTTCTTGTGTGCGGCACGCTCACGGGCTGCTCCGCCTGGAGCCCTACCAGGGCAAGGACAGTAGTGTGCATCCGTTCCTGGTCCACCGTTTCGTCCAGGTGGTCCAGGCGTTCCAGGCACTCCGGGTTCGCCAGGTCGTCCATCAGGTCCACTGGGTCCAGGCGCTCCTGCAAGAGAGCTTGCACCTGGTGGGCCAGGTTGGCCAGCAGGTCCGGCTTCGCCAGGAACCCCTGGCTGTCCAGGTGGACCTGTGGGCCCTTTGCCTCCTAGCGTTCCATCATTTCCGCGATCACCCGGAGGTCCATTTTTGCCAGGTGCTCCAGGTGTACCGGGCTCACCAGCTTGTCCTGAAAATAAACTGTTTGAAGACGTTCCATAGCGCGCATTTCGTTAAGACACTATACCAGGTACTCCCGGTGGACCAGGTAAAGATGTCTCCCATCCAGCTCCATTTGGTCCAGGTGAGCCAGGAGTTCCAGGCAGTCCAGGTGGGCCTGGTGGGCCGGGGTCACCGTTCGGGCACGCTCTGAATTAAATTACGCTTTCACCGAAGAATCTGTGAGAAATCAAGAGCAAAACATACGATGTACTGATGATGCGACCACGATACCTGCATTGTCCACGCGGGTCCATGGTTACACCGGGTAAGTTTCCTCGACCTCCTGGCGCTCCACGTTCGCCTGGAAGACCTGGATCGCCATCTAGTCCTGCTTCACCGGGCACGCCGGGTGGTCCAGGCGGACAAATGTTATCGCCGTTGCACTGGCAGGTGCCTGAGGCTTGACGATGACGACGTGGGTGGGTGCGTCTTATGGAACGACCCACGCGCACGTGATACCTGAAACGATGATGAACTGGTTACTGAGTCTGAACTGTGACAGATTAATTAGGTAACAACCGCAAAACCGGTTCATGTAATATTGTAATGAATGCCCACTGAAGGAACTGGTGGCACTGACGAACTTACGCGGTCTGTTTTTCCATGTCTCGGAATTCGAGCATGTCTCGCTCGATCTCTCCGGAAATCTCATCAAGTTTTGTCGACAGTCGCGTCGCCAGAAGGAGGATCATCGTCGTGGCGCTGATAGACAGCACGATGGACGCGTAGGCGGCGCTTTTCCCGTCCATCCTAAAGTTTAGAAATCGAGTATTGTACGAAAACTTATTTTTACCGAATTAACTTCATTTTTATACTGAATTTCGCCACCGACGAAAAAATTCCTACTGGTTTCAAGTTGAAAATTACTTTCAAAATGAAGAAAAAACTTGATTGGAAGGCTCTTACCTCAAGAAGAGGAGCTAATTGGCTGATGATAGCACTGTATCAGTGGTTTTTATACTGGCGACAATTACCCAATAGGTGGAACAAACAAGTTGCGTACGGCCGTAAACACGTTACTGTTACGACCATAAGCTAATGTGCAAAGCATTCTTCGAAAATGAGTCTAATTGAATTGAACGGAGCCTAAAAAATTGGTTCATTAGTTAAAAAATGTGGAAATAGAACTTCGAGGCAAAGCTACCTCTGTAGAAAACCATCTGGAAAAACTCCTATTAGTATGGAAATCCAGAGTGTACCTCCTCTTGAGTCCTTTGATAAGTTTTCTAGCGGCGCAGGATACAATAGCAAAAAAAACATGAAAACAAGTCTACATCAGGGGTTCTTTAATAGTTTTTCAGCCTTTCCCAGCCTGCACATGAAAACTTGGTCTGACAAACTAAGCCTAAAAAAAGTTTATCCAAAAATGAGTTCGTAGTAGTTGTCGTTTTGGGGGCAGAATTTCAAAGAATTTTTGCGACAGGGCACGCCGCTGGAACATCATAAAAAATGAGTGAACAATGAGGAACCGAACACCGACACAGGTCTGATCCCTCGCTCATTGGGCCAGGTAGAACGGACAGGTTACCGGACCACGTTGCCGTATACACTGAAGAACTTCTCAGTACTGTGAGTGCCGGCAAAACGCTGCTCCACTGTATCAAAAAAAGTTCAAGCCCTGAACCGCGCCCGCGGTAGCACCACAAACTGCGAACGCTCGCCTACTGATGCGGCCAACCATAAGAATTCTTCTCTTAAAACTCAGCAATGTGTCAAGTATTCCGTGGAACATTTGTGACACATAACAAGCGTTTTCGAACAAACCCTGTCAGCTTAGCAAATGACATACCCCTTGCTGCTCGTGCCACACGCCTTTGAAAGAGTAGGACGTTGTGTTCGGAGAGAGGTTTCCTCAATGAGGGACCTCATTCTACCAATGCACAGCTTCGTAGCGAGTACAAGAGGAACACTTGTGAATGCTGGAGAAGTTAGTTTACACATTACACCTATCGGTTGCACTTATCTTCCCCACGATACAGTTGCCTTGCAGAGAAGAACAGACCCCAGCTGGTTTATCCAACGAACTTACGGCGTTCTGCGGAGAGAAAGATGACCTGGTTCAGGGCACTTCTCAAAGGCATTTTCGTCAGTACACATTCATGTTCATTACTATTCGAATCATTGCTCATCTTACTAGAAGGGTAACGTCTTCGCAGCTGATCAATCATTTCGAGATGCGCGCATTCTACTTCCATTCACGATCTGAGTGACTTACTGAAAGCGATGGCTTATACAATGATTTGCGGGGGTCACATCAGTGCTCTTTTCCTCCCAAACGAGGCTGGTACCAATCTGGTACCATCTGGTTACCATCCCGGGAGGAAGCCTTGGTTGGCCGAGCGGGAGCCGATCAGTGATTTGACCCTCCGACAGCGCGCCTAGTAAGCGCCACTTGTTGCTACACCACCTACGCCTCATAGAGGAAGATATAAGTAGGAATAGGAGCGGGAACGAAGCGTGCCATTATGTAAATGCACGTCTATAAATGTATTCGTTTTGAAAGCAGTGCATGTGAAAAGAGAGAAAATTTGAAGTCTGCATGTGTTCGTTTTTATATGGAAAAAGTGGCCGATTAAAATGAAAAGGGTATATGTGTGTAGCACATGGTTCCTGCTGTACTCATTGTCCCAGTCATTAACACACACACACACACACACACACACACACACACACACACACACACACACACACACACACACACACACACACACACACACACACACACACACACACACACACACACACACCACAACACCACCACACACATCGCGTTTTTGCAGTGACTCCCGTTCACAGTTCCTGCGCCTCCGCACACCTGGATTGCCAGCAATACCCAGACGCGCGGGACTGGAGTCTTTGCGCCGCATACCCTTTGCAAGTTCATGTTTCTGTTTTCATTTGTGCTTGGTAGCCTTTTAAATAGAAGGTAAAATTCGGTTCAGGTTACATACGTGGATCTAGAGAACGGAGTAGAGTTTGTCAAGGTTAGTTTTGACGACTTATTGTATTAGGTTGTTCGGAAAGGAATGCGCGTTTGAGTGTAAAAAAATTTTTATTATAAAAACGAAATTAAACAAGGTCAATCTAAAAGATAATCTCCATTACTAGCAATGACTTGTTGCCAACTGTACGCAAAAACTTCGCCAAAAGAGCCTCTTTCACTACTTTTCCCCTCGGGTGTGTCGTTAGGTCCGCCGGAGAGGAAATGTAGGTCAAAAGAGCCTCTTTTTGCCAGTTTTCTCGCCGAGTGTGTCGCTAGGTCCGCCCGCTGCCCCTGTGAGCCGAGTGGGTCATTAGGTCCACCCAAGTGCGTCGTTAGGACTTGCTTGAAGTCTTACCACATACAAGCTCGCATTCGAAATTTTTGGTCGAGCATTTTCTAAACTTTTTTTTCTCTAAAAAAACAAGGTAGACATAGAAAAATATATAAAATCTCCTATAGTAGAAGAGAAATAAATAGACAAAGTCAACGCACATTCCTTTCCGAACAACCTAATAGTACAGTGATGAAAAAGAATTAGATAACTCGGACAACTCAGAAGACGAATATAATGAAAATCAGGAAGAACATTTGTTCAATTAAATAGAATTTTCCCATAAAGGACCACACGGCTACTATTTCCTGGAAGATCAGGTGTTAAGAGCAAATTAGACCGTGATGCAATTGCGACCTTTGGATTTCCATTCTTTGTTTGCAAATGACGAGTTCTACTGATTCCGACGGAAACCAAACGATATCGCAAACAGCCCATACTTCTAACCAAGTAAGCTCGCTGAGCTGAAGAAAGACTGATCAGAACTTATCATATGAAGGGCAATTACGTTTCTATGAACTGATTCTTTCTTTGAAGTAAGTGAAACCCAAGCCATAGAGAAAAGGAAAACGTATTGAGCATAATTCAACGAGAATCATTCACAAACGCTAGTCAACTAGGAGAAATCCGATCCACAAAATGTGAATTGTGGGCAATACACAAACGCGCGGGATGGCAGTATTTGCGTGTATTGCTGACAATTCACGCATCGTTCAATGTGTCAACCAAGTAAGCAACTCTTGCAGGATGTAACGTTTGCTTAGCTATCTCCACACCCTCCCCAAAAATCGTCGTGAATTTTATGATGCTTCCTGATTTTCGAAAGTTCATGGTCGTGGCACAATCTCACCTGCATAATCAGACATTTTGCATATTATGCAAACGAATTCGATGACAATTCGTTTTTCGAACTGTTTCTTTTTGGTTTGGATATATGTAGGCAGAAAACTTTTTCATGTCACATGAAAATTTTTGCGCGAACTGCTTGCATGTCATTCCATTTTCATTATAAAGCATCATTGTAATTATTCATTATTCATATTGATTAGTCATCATTATAAAGCATTTCATTATTCTGTAGAACTTCTTCATCGTCAAGGCCTAATTGTAGAGACGCGAGTGTTGGTTCAGTATGTGGTGCCACCACATTCCCGATTGACTAGTCAGCGCTTGTCTTATCGCTTGCGCGTTACAAAGCAGTGTTGAAAAAAGAGGCAGGTCAGTGTCATTTGTCACAGAAACACGGATGTGGCTGTCATCAGGGCTAAAGGGTGGATTCCTCAATTTCCCGTCCATCCTCAGATAAATTTAAATTCAATGTTCGCCAAGATCGGCTTTCACTCTGAATCTTTTTAGCTTCCTTCAAATGTACGGCATCAATCCAGACAAGGAAGGGCTGAAACTTGATAAAAAAAGTAGTAAAAATACATGTTCTGATTAAATTTATCAGCTTCTGCTCTCGCTTTCAGTCCCTAACTTTAGCTGATATTCTATTTACTCTGGTTCAGGTATGCAGTTAGCATAATGGATTGCAGAAGCATGCACCGTTATACGGGGTTCTACCTTGTCGCGTTGAAAAACGTGACCCTAGGACTCACCTTATAGTTAGGATGAAATACAAGCGGGTTACTCCCGGCTGAACGGAGTTAGTGGGCATTTGAACATAGCATAGGATGGGCCTATTCCGAGATATTTCACCTGAATACAGCTTGTTCATTTTGTTCTGTGTTGCACATGGAGACACGACCATGTTTCAAATATGAAATATTTCATCAAAAGGCGCGGCCACGTGCTTCTAGAGCTTAGTGAACTACGAAGCGTGAGCCACGCCTACCAAATCTCAAGGACTTCGAGTGTGTATAGTGGGTACTATCTGGCATAAAGGCGCGATATTACCCTGCACGAGCACTCTGACGTACGCACAGAACCAAATTGTCAAAAGCTTCTTGCATCTCCTCTCTATGATGCCCTTAGGATGGAAACAGCGACTTTTTCAGGAAGATCCTGTTCGACTACATACTTCCTGACTTTTGAAGAAAAAACCTGAAAGAACAGGTAGAGTGCCTAGTGCTAGCGGCGGACACGATCTAGCGGATCTGATAAACTTCATCCTGCGAAAAATAACCCGTTTCGCAGAGAGGTCTGCCGCTTTCGAAGGAAGCAACGCAAGCACTTATAGTGAGAGCTCGATTCGCCATTGTATAACACACCAGCCCTTATCTACCACTAAGAATAGACCTTGGCGCTTCTATGTCGCTGTGGCGTGCCACTACCACTACAGCTGTGGATACTGCTTTCTCATCATGATCGTCTTTTGTCTCGACCGTCTTGTTCTCGTTCAGTCTCCTCTCCACGGCAACAGGGCTCCTCACCCACGCTTCCTCACGTCCACTTCCAGACCTAATAATCAGCTGCAAAAAGCTGGGCCATATTTG